CATCTTACACAGTTACTCTATGAGCTGAAGGAATGACAGACAGTATTTATCACTAAAGGTCAATGGAAATGTAACTATTTAAATGTGGTGAGATGGAATTCTGGGTTTAATTAATGCAAGAGATTACATTCTCTGAAAGGACAATGGAAACTGAACAAAGGAGTGTTTCTATTTACTTCTTAATGCAGTTGGGGGCAGCTGTTAGTTTTATCAAATTTGGTTATTTGCAGTTGGTAAAAAAACACTTTTAATGCAATTGACCAGTAATTGCTCAAGCTAAGATACATTTCAAACTGCTGTCTTGTTTTCAAACATCGTTGAAAAATAGACTAAAGCAAATTTCAAGCTTAATTCTTTAAGAATTGTCATGTTTGAAGCAAGGCCCACATGCAGAGAACACACAAGGAGAAGGATGAATTCATATCAAAAGGTTTTATTTTCCATTTGAAACTGATAGCAAAAAACAGAGAAGGAATAAATATTGTTATGGAGGAGCCACTGGAGCTGCATCATCCTTACACTGAAGGCAGAGAAGGGGAGAGGTTAGAGGATGGCTTAGACTCAAACTGGGAACCTAATTCAGATAGGAGCTTATTGAATAAGCGGGGTGTTTCCGCCAGGGAGGACTGGAGTAGGGAGCTGGAGGTTTGCTTGGTGATCCCAGGTGGGCGAGTTGTTGGAGGGCAGGCAGGTCTTTCCAGGTTGGTGGCAGAGAGAGTGGTACCTTTCTGGATAAGGAGGTTTTTCCAAGAGTTTCTTCATCAGAGGTTTTGTTTGGGTACGTGCTTTTCTCAAAATTACAAGAGCAGGAGAGGTAACCTGTTAAAATGCATACAGGGCAGGTTCAGGTTCAAATAACTCATGAGATCTTTAGCTCAGGGGAGGGCTATGAATACCAGTAGTGATTAACACACAAGTGCTGGAGATCGGGCCGACCGCTACTCTTATACTGGAAAAGATGGGGCTGATTGCACGCAGGTGTGCAGAAACGTCCCTCCAAGCCGATCGCAGCCTAATGGCTCAACCTACAGGGAAAAGCAGACTCCAGCACCCAACACGAATATTATACAATATATTGTTCTGAGACAAGACAACTCATGTATTTTTGGCCCATCTACTGATAGGTATTCCAAGTTCAATGCCTCAAAGTTACTCAATCAAAGTTACTAAATCAATTCTTCTAGTTTATTTTTTTAAGAGTTTAACCTCCTTATATATCTTTTCATTTTTTATATGCAGGCAGCTCTGCAGAAGCAATAACAGCATTTAGCATCTACTGTATCTCCCCCCCAAAAAACTCCCTGATCAGCTTTTCTGATTTGTTGACAACCTGGCATCCAGCGGCAAAAGTTCAATTTTCTGAACTCCAGTCGAACACTCGGATGCTTGGACGCTCTGACGCCCAAAACGCGTTCGGTGTAAACGCACATTTAGAGACATTTAAAACTTTGACTATTAAGTTGTTACAGTTAAGAATACAAAACATTTCCTTTGTAATCATGACTGCAGAGTTATCTGCATGGGTGTTAAGATCTCCAACAACAATAACAAAATCAGAATTAGTACAGAAACACAGAAGCAGTCCAATAAAAACCAATAAGTGAAGCTGCAACAGGATAACAGACAACTTTTATTTTACAACTAATTTTCCAAATAATACCATTGAGGATCTGAGGAACAATAGTAAATAGATCATAGAAACATTAGCAGATTTTTTATTTTTTTTGTCTCTTTGAAAGCTTGGATATATGCATTTGCACTGCAGGGGCCTGTTTCAATAAGGAAGTTCAACCAACTCTGAGTTAAAATTTGAACTCTGAGTTGAGTTATCCTGAGATTGGAAACTCTGAGTTTTGGGTTTCAGAACAGCTGAAATGAGTTAGTTCAATCAACTCTAAATTGACTGACTCTGAATTAAGCGCGTGCACCACAACTATAAAAAGCCATTATCAATGGAGCACAGATATTACGAGTCACCATGGCAACAGCGTCAGACAAAAAAAGGTGTGCATATTTCTCACCAGCAGAACTGGATGTGCTTATGCAAGCATATGCAGAATTTGAACATGTATTTTTTTTTAAAAGCAACACGGCTGCAGCGGCGAAGGAGAGAGAGTTAGCTTGGGTGAAAATAGCTGCTAGAGTCAATGCGTAAGTTTACATTTTAATTACTTTTATACAGTGTTGGGTGTAATGAATTAAGTTACTTAAGTCATATAAATACTGTAATTAAATTAAAGACTATAAAACAATAGTGGATTTAATATTAAATTTTAAAAGGTATATTTTGATTTGAACTTTCTCCCTCTAGTTACACACTTTGGTCAATTTAAGATTAATTCATGCAATTGAATATTGTTTATTTGAAAGCATTAGAGGTGCATTTTCTTGTCTCTCCTTGTATTGTTCAAGTTGTTGAGGTTGATTTGGGATTTAGAAAGTAATTAATAAGTAAGTAAAACAAATTAGTAATTAGACCAATACTTTCTAGAGACAGTAATTAATACATTAATCTAATTAGACTTGTTGAAGATCAAATTTGTAGTTAGTAATTAAGAACTATTTTAGAGTAACTTACCCAACTGTTATAATATCAGAGGTGAAACTGGAGGAACAGTATTTTATTAAACCTAATTTAGTTTTCATGGATAGGTGCATCCCAGCAGGCATCAAAAGAACATGGCAGCAGCTGAAAATGAAATATAAAAACATACTTCAAGCAGGTAAGCCTTGAGCACATCATGGGAGTAGAGTAGCTACCTGGCTTTACAAACAGGATCATCCATAAAAGGACATGCCATTTCATTCCCTTTGATGCGCTCTACGTGACTGAAATGTGTGCAATGAATACTGTATGTCCCCAAAGAATCAAGGTGTTTAAACACCACTTCCTCTTTAAAAAAGGGGAGGAGACCAAAATAAACTCCGGATTTTCTGAAGAAAACCTGCTCCCGACCAGGTTAGGTTCACAGAGTAAATTGCCATGGTAACTGACTCTGAGTATAAGTAACCTCTCTTTCAGAAACGGGCTTGACTTACTCTTCTTTCTCAGGTTTAACTTACCTCCCTTTCTGAAACAGACAACCCAGAGTTTCCCTCATTTCAGGGTTAACAAACTCAGAGTTTTCACTTAACCTCCTTTCTGAAACAGGCACCAGTACTATATTCTATTTGTAAACAGATTATATGATGTATATATATCATGTATAATATAATAATATGTTTTTAAACACAAGTGTGCTGGAAAAAACAAAACAATTATTGATTAGGCTTTACAAATATGGCTTGCTTTACAGAATTAGTACAGTATAATGTTAAACCTAAAACCCTGAAATGAGCAGACAGTGTTTACTCCCTCCAATCGGGACTGAAACTGTTTTGCTTTCAGTCATGAAATCTCATTAATGAACTATTTGCATGGTCAGTGATTACTGATAAATGATGAAAAAGTGGGATTAAAGGTTAGAACTTTCTTTTGTGCCTCTCAAAGCTTAGGGACTTATTTTTATATTTTCCCTCAGATTTTATTTTTTTCCTCTGATATTGAGTAAATCACTTTTGATTGCTTTGAGGATCAATGGATATATACAGATGTACTAATTTGGTTAATAAAAAAACCTTAAAAAGTTTCAATAAGTAAAACATTTTCAAATATAATCCCAAAACAATTTTTTTTCGTGACTTAACATTACATACAGCTGCTGCATATAGATTTAATTGTCTTTATGTTCATAAGCAAAGCTAAATCCCCCTAAAAACCTAAGCATTCTTTAAAAATAAATACAACTACAAATTATACTCACATGTTGTTCAACAAATGAGTTGGTTTAACAAAGCTCAACATCAAGCTATTTGTGAAGGCTTTTGTGTCCACCATGTGGTCACTTATAACCACTGCAACAGTGACAGTGGATCGCCAGCAGTGAGTTGATATGTTTTAAAAGAAATACCTTTTTGAGTCAGTTGTTGTGATAAAAATGGAGATTTATTAAAGAATTATTTTCTTAAAGCTTTATAGTCAAAGTAAGAATAGTTATAGCAAGTGGAAACCCTATCTCAAAAAATGGCTAAAACTGCAACTTTGTTCCCTGACAGGTTGGATATGAGTCCCAGATGGAGAACTAGATACCTACAGAAAAGTTTAAAGTTCTTATAACTCCTAACCTGGTTTGAACCTCTCAGTCAAATCTAAACAGACATCTAATGAAAATCAAATAAACATCAATAATATAAGCTTTGGAGAGCAGAAAATATAGATAAATACATAGAAACAACTTGTCATTACATCCACAGTACTTAAATGCATAATTAGATGCAGCATGGATGGCTAGTCATCTCAACACAGGTATTTATGCTTAATTTTTTGTAGCCCTTTAAATATACATCTTTTATGTTTGCTTGAAATTAAAGGCACATTGTTTGACAATTACACATATTGTCTTATTCTTCTCTTCGCTCGGCAGCATCCTAAGCAGCCAACTTTCTGGCGGCCCGAATCACTCTGATGTCAGAGTACACAATGTTATCATCAGTCTCATCTAAAAAAACAGAAATAGACACAGAGGCCAAATCTTGTTAATTAAAATGATATTGCCTTGGTAACAAAAAAATGTTAACCTCATAATTAGTACAGTTTAGTGTAAGAGAATAGCTTCGGTAAAATTGTCTCACCTTCTTTAAGACTTGTGGGGCGCTTTATTTTACACAATTTGACTGCGAGAAGGAGGATCAAAAGAAGAAGTGGGAAGTTCAGACTTGCAAGAACAGTAAGAGTTATTGAATGCGGCCCTAGAAAAAATAGACATCAAGTCAAATGACATTTATTTACTGCAAAGACTTTTATATGCCTATGCAAATCACACATTTAACATTGCATTTCTTTTACAACAATGCGAGCAAGGAAAACAACAAAAAAGAAAGGAATTAAACTAAAAAAAAAAATACATATATAAGAATAGCACATATTACCTTGGCAGCTTGTAAGGTATATTGTGGTCTGTTTACTGCTGACTTTGTTTTCTACTTTACAGCGTAGGTTTCCTGCCAGCTGACCATTCAAGCTGATGCTGAAACTTTCATTCTTTTCTCTGACAGCTTTAGTCTGTATTATTAGATTGTCATCTACAGAAAAAGAGAACTCTATGTCATCTCCATCTGCTGAGAAGTTGATTGTCCTTAGTTCTGGTGACAAACATGTAGCTGATAAAGCAGGTTGTGTTACAGAAGCTGAAAGAAAAAAAAAGAAAATAATCAAACTTACAATAATATTCCAAATAGAACTATTATATTTCTAAGTTCTAATTTCTTGTTCATAAAAGTTGTGCTTTATGCTTTATGTAACTTTTAACATTAAATAAGTTCCAGAAAATTTCTTGAATTACTTGAAGTTGCATTTGTTCCTACCTAAAATCTGTATGTTGATGTTGGTCGTCTTAAATATTTTACCATTATTCTCATATAGGACAAGTCGGTAATCTCCAGAGTCATTCTTTGTTGTGGGGTTAAACACAAATGTTACATTCGTATAGTTTACACACTTGAAGATCAAAAAACTATCTTTATACAGATCCATCCTCAAAAAATTTGGAAAGTTAAAAACCAGAGGTTCTCCGAAGGCTCCATAACATTGACGGTTTGTATCATGTTGAGATAAATTGCATTCCATAAGTCCTAAAAGGGAAACATTAAACACAAGCACATAAAAAAAGAGACAAAGCAAAAGAAAAAAGTTATAACGTGTTCGTTGTCAATGTAATATAAGAAATATTAAAAGGTACTATTACGATAGCAATTGGCTTTAAAACATTTTATCTATAAAAAGCTTGTGTAAAATGTTCTGAAATGAGAAACATTATCTGTATAATAATAATAATAATAGTAATAATAATAATAATAATGTATTACATTGTATTCATATTTATCACTATTTGGATTTGCCTAAATGAAAAATACATATTCAGTCTGAATATGAAGAAGCCTCTTGGATAAGAGGCGAAATGTCTTCTAGAAAATCTCATGTCCAGTTTGCGTAGACTGAACCTTTCCAAGCTTGACCATGATCTGGATGACGGAAAAGCTTCACAGATATTATTAATTACTTTAAACTAGATAAATTGCATGAAATATACCTGTTGCCAAGGTTGCCATTACCAGAACTGGCATTATTATGTAGATTGAAATCATTTTCTGTGAAGATAAAAAAATATATATATCTATAAATAAATTATGATCACAATGTGACGGACAACACTGTATAGATTAAATAAAATTTTATTCAGCCAGATTAAATAGTTTTTATATTAGAAGCATCTAATAGGTCCAGAAGCATTGTAAAATAGATACACTTGTAGCTTTAAGGTCCTAAACAGGCCGCTTTTATCTGTGTGAACAACTATGTTCTATGTATAAATCTAATTTATACATGGCATATATTCCTTGTTCTTGTTTTATAAGTCTAGTTAAATGGCTGTCTGTAGTATGTTTCACTCATTGAGTAAGATTTCTCTTTTGGGGCAAAGGTTGCTGTCTTCTTCTGGCTGTTCTTTATTATAAGAAAGAAGTGTAATTCGTAATGTTTTAGAGGTTTGTTGTAACAAATTATGTTTGCCGTGTTTAGAAAAACAAGAAGGAAATATCTTCTAGATGTAGTGGTACTGCAGTATTCTTTTTAATTCTAATACTTGTGTAAAATACTACTTGTGGTAATTATTGTCAGTATTATTAATAACTTATTTACTAAACGATATTTTGAAGTAATTCTACTAAAGTTGCATTTCTGGCTTCTCTAACCTGCTCAAGGCTGGAGCAGGGTAGAGAAGCCAGGGTGGAGAAGCCGGTGTTAAACAGATGATGTTTTGAGGTGGACGTTCTTACTTTACAGTATACTACAAAAAACTTTACAGTACAGTATTTCATTTTTTTTTTTTACACGTCACTATTATATTATTCTTATACACTTATCTAAGGTCCACATTTGTGTTACATTTTTTCTATATATTTTTTTCAGCTGTAAACATCAGATTTTCCACATTGTTGGACAATAAAGGGATTTTCTATTCTGTTCCATTGTATTTAAAAACATATAAAAACTACTTTTTACAAGCTTATCTCAGCAAATACAGCTAAGAGCGGCTCTCTGCCATTAAACATAGGTGCAGCGGAAGCATCAGACGCATCTGGACACATTTTAAACACCTTAATGTGTACACTCATCAAAAATTAAGCAGCAGGCATTTTTCGCTGCTCAAATCGTGGTGTGAATGTAGCATTAAACTTTCCGATTGTTTGAATTAACATATGAAACATAATATTGTACCTAAAAATTATCTCATGTCTTTCTTATGAAATGTCAACCTTTAGCCAAGCACACGTACTTCCCATAATGAGGACAAAGGTGGTGTTGTAACAGAGATAAAAACTTAGCTGCATTCCGCCTTTAAATGCAGGAAATAGCATTTCAGGGAGTCTTCATTTCTAAATTTTCTCAGTAAGGATTCCCTTCAAACGCCCTACAACACACAAAGCCTAAAGAGGTGATACACCAATGTGTACACCCTATGGAATGTTTGTAGCTAAAACCTGATTTAAAAGCTGTCTAATCAGCATTTTATCATATTCACAAAAATATAACTTTCACATGCGCCGTTTGTCTTGCATGGAAGGACCTGCATTGATTAAATTATAATGATTTCTCACACTCAAACATAATATAGACAATAAGGGTTTTATTACTTTCTTCTCTGATCAATCACTTACTCTCTGTTTATTTCATTCCTTTTTTCCCCTCACTGAAACATATAGACACACAATTAATGTTGAGCAAAGACTTCTTACTAGGGTTGAATTGCAGAAATATTTTTAGTAATTCAATTACAACAAATTGACTTGCTACCAAGTTAATGTCCTCTTTAACTGATTCCTATTAACTCTTTTGTGTGATTGATGTGCTTTTAAAGAGTTTGCCCCAGTTATGTGTAAATAGATTAACTATGTTTGGACAGAACAGATTTTTGAAGTGATAAAGGTTTTGAGCAAGGAAACATTAAAGGAATAGTACACCCAAAACATGATTAGCCTTCATTTTCTACTCACCCCCATGCTGAACAACACTCTGGAGTACTTTTTTGATATCTCAAATGCATCTGGAGATCTGGGAGGCTTCTTGCTGTCTGCTGACATTCAAATAATGGAGGTCTATGGTGCCCGAGGCAGAAAGGTCCATAAAAGTCCACAAAAAACGTTTCAATATTCCTCCATACTGCTCGTCCAATGTATTCCAAGTGTCCTGAGTGGGTAGCATCCAGAATTTACTCGAAACGAAGTCATTTAGAATGTTTTTAGAGCATAAACAGTAGTGTATAGGATTTCCTGAAAGCGCGTTCACGACGCTATGGAAACCGCGGCAGACCAAACCGGATGAAAGTGCGCATTCAGCTCGGCAAAGAACTCATGCTCTTCCTCAACACTGAAGTCCTCAGACATTTTTCTTTCGTTGTTTCTTTCTTTGCACAGGTAAACAGCAGATTTGTTCTTCTACGCTTGCATTATTGGCAGAGCAGACGCTGAATGCGCACTTTCATCTGGTTTGGTCTGCCGGCTTCCGTAGCGTCGTGAACGCGCAGGCTCGCTCTTTCGGGAAAACCTACACACTACTGTTTATGCTTCTAAATGACTTCGTTTCGAGTAAATTCCGGATGCTACCCACTCAGGACACTTGGAATACATTGGACGAGCAGTATGGAGGAATATTGACACGTTTTTTGTGGACTTTTATGGACCTTTCTGTCTCGGGCACCATAGACCTCCATTATTTGAATGTCAGCAGACAGCAAGAAGCCTCCCAGATCTCCAGATGCATTTGAGATATCAAAAAAGTACTCCAGAGTGTTGTTCAGCATGGGGGTGAGTAGAAAATGAAGGCTAATCATGTTTTGGGTGTACTATTCCTTTAATAGCATTTTAAGTGTTTACCACGCCGAAATAAAAATGGTCTAGGATCTGATTTGTTTAACTATATATATCGAATTTCGAAATAAAATAACCTTTCACTGAGAAACAGAACAACAAAAGGCAGTACAGAGGTACATGCAACATTACGAGAGATAAAGTAGATAAATATAAAAGGACAATTAGAAAAAAAAATCTTCTTGCAAAACCTTGCATAAAGTGTCAACATGTGCTTATCTAAAGAAGGAAGTAGCTAAGTCGCTGGTAAACCACACTTTAGCCTCACCTCCGCTAGCCTATCACCCCACATTTCTAATGTTTCTGACTCCTTTGGTATGTGTGTATGTGAATCACCTTAATTTTCTATTTATGGATTTGATTTTATTTATCATGTTTTATGCATGTCTGTTTTAGTTTTTACAACTTTCCATGCATACATTAATTATGTCAACATTATTATACAACAAACATGATATTAATCTCCTTTTTGTGCTCTATTATAAATCCTCAGTGGTTTAACTTTTCTGCAGATACCTATCTGACCCCAAAGCTCACACTTAGAAAGAAGTTAAATACAAACAGTTTCAATAAAAAAATAAATTAAATGTGTACTATTTTTTTTTATTTTTTTCATTTTAAGTGTTAATTATGCTTACTTTTAATTATACTTTCTTACAAATAAAAACAACTGTCAATTGTCATGAAGATGACACTAAAGATTAAAAGTTAACATATAGAAGTTAGTAATAACTAGTTTTATTTAAGATCACAGGAACTGACATGGGAATTAATGCATATAATGGGCTCACTAAATACCTTTTGTTCCCAAAAAAATATTTGTGCCAACGAAATAAAAAACTGTGATAAAACTTTTGGGGCTTTAGCTTTGCCACCATGTTTCTAATTCAATCAGTTAAAATGCCCATTACGGTTTCACTTCCACATCCAAATAACATTTATTCAACTATTGAAACCAGTTAGCTCAGTCAGCTTCACCATGTGTAAATATGCATTATGAGGCTTCCTGTAACAACCGATTACGAGGAGAAACGATCTCTGTTCCAGTTAGACCCAGAGATTGCTGCTGCTGTAAATGTTAAAATCAAAGATCACAAACTCCAACAGTACAGAGGAGTAAAAGGACGGAAAGAAACCGATAAAATCTATAGCTGGATCTGGCGTAAAGGTGCAGCATAACAAGCTCTGCTTGCAAAAAAGGCCTGGGCACATGGAAATAAACTCGGACCCCTTGAGGTTTGAGGAAACTCAGGTCTAGTTAATGATCTAAAAGTCCCTCTGTGGCTTCTTGAGACTGCAGGTAATCTTTGGGTAGACCATTGCATTTTTTTCTGTCATTCTAAAGGTGTTCACTCCAAAACGTAATTTCTCTTTTTATTCTCCTCTGCTTGCATCTTCTCAATAGTGATCACATCTGCCACAATGGAACAAATTAAGGCTGATGCACATAATACTATAAGACAAGTAATTAATTCACTTATTTGCTACCTAATTGGATCTCTCTGCACTAAACATATTTGCATCCCCTTCTCCTTAAATTGGAATTTGAGCTGAATAGTGATATGTTTGAGAAACGCACACTGGACAGCAGCAGGTGTTATTATTTTTCAGACTTAAACTTAGACAGACTTTATTGTAATTTTGTACACAGAGTGTTTTACAAAAATAAATGTCGTTCAGTACAGCACTTAAGAAATTTTCTATTTTTAAAGTGCAGCAGTGATAAAATGTAAAGATAAGACTGTTATGTGGTATACAGTTTTCAACATTCAGTGCTTTTTTTTTTTATAAAACCCATTTAGCAGTGTAATGGCAGTGGGGAAGAAAGTGTTTTGGAATCTGCTGGACCTGCATCAGATGGTTCTAAGTCTCTTCGCAGAAGGCAGCAAGGAGAACAGTCCATGGTGGGGGTGTGAGGGGTAATTTTTAATGTTACCGGCTTGGGACACGCAGCGCTGGGAAGAAATATTACAGCATAGCACAGCACACATCTGTACATCTGGTCTTGATTCATACCTGGCTATTTAAATGCCTCACTAATGAGAAATACTTGCAAAGCCACGCTGGTCAGAATCTCTCTATAGCTTATCCTCTGCATAAAACAAAACCCGATCAGAATATCCTTTCTATCCTGGATTATGTTTAATAATTTTGTATGCATTATACACTTATGCTGTGCTAACAAATACGTACATCATGAGAACAAGTTTGCGCACAGAAATAATTAGAGAGAAATAATTAGTGTTCGGTGGGCACAAATTTGTATTTGTCAGTTTCTGGGCTCCGTACTTAAGTTACTTTTGGTAAAAATATTTCTTTCAGTTTCAGTGCTCCATACTCTCATCAATTACTTTTAAAAAGTCATTAGGAATTGTCGGTACTGTTATTTGAGTAAAATCTTGAAAACTCAACCCACTGTGTGTCTGTTTACTGAAAAAAAAGACACTTAAACGGCAGACAGTTTAATTTTTACTAAAATTCGTATTTTCTTTTACACATGATCTTTGTTGTTTTATATTACTTTTATTTGATGAGACATCTATGACATGGAGAAAACATATATTGTCAAAAGAGGTAGTTTACTCTGAGTACCTTCAATACTTTATAAAAAAGTGGTTTATATGTCAAAAAAGGATTTTGAAAAGTGTTCCTTCTGCATGAATTTGTTTTTATGTTTTATTTGTATTTATTACTGTCTTTAACTCTTTGTAACAAAGTTAGTTTGTACATAATTATGGACTGACTGAATTATTGCATTTAAACAGTAAAACATTTATCCATTTATTTTGTAGCCTACCAAGTACTTTTTACTCTTTGGATGGCTTTTTAATTTTACTTGAGTGGAAATAGTGCTACTAAAGGAGAAAACAAAAGATGGCAATTATGATAGAGGTTACATAAGCTTAAGGTAAATTTGTCACTAAAAAATTATCTTATCTTAAATATATAAAACATTTCGTTTTTAGAGATTTTGATCAAAAGCTTTAGAAATTATAGAGGACAGACTAAATGTATATTCACCGTAACTCAAAAACAAAACTTGTGCAATCTATAGCAATTTAAAAAAGGCCATCTGTAAGTCTGTTTTGCTTAAGAATTTTACAATAATTATGAAATAATTTTGTTTAATTAAGTTGCATTGCCTTTTTTCAAAATCTTTTAAAAAGCAATGTTTGTCATTAATTTGTCAAACAACATACTTACAAAAAATGAAAAGCAGGGAAAATACAACAATACGTTCCAACATAATCTTTACAAATAGCTCAGTTGTAAAATTAGGATCAATAGGTATAAATCGCCAAAGTTAAAAGTAAAGTTTTCCGCTCTTACTTGCAATAGAAGATTGTTGTCTCTACAGAGGCTGTTTCCTTTTTCAACTGGCAGCAGGGAGGTGTAGCAGAACCTCTCACAGTTTGTATGTGAATGAATGATGACTTGGTGGTTGTCTTTCTTTTTAATATTTGATCCATATGTAAGACCTGTACATTTCATTAACTACTTAGGCAAGGCAGCGTTTTTTGTTTTTTGTTTTTTGTATAGGACATTTCACTAGCAAGAAAATTAGACTAAATTAAAGTTTAAAATGACAGATTAATACGAATTTCATTAATATGAAAAAAAAAACATACAAAAAAATTGAATTGCTGTGACATAATAATGTAGCCATTCATTAAAATTAATATTGTTTCACTAAATAGTTTAAACACATCTTTTAGAAACTGCTGAAAATTAGTTGGTTTTAACTTTGATTTGAAAGGACTTGGGTTGATTTCAGAATAAATTAACAAACTAACAATATCAACCTCCATTTAAATTTACAATTAGCAAATGCTGTGGCCCTATTTTGTATCACAGGATGTCCCAGCATTTATTATACCACGGCAATATTGAAGTTCAGTGTTATTACAGCTAAAATACAAAAAGTTCTGGTCATGGCATAGTAAAAAGAACAGATTAACATAGCAAATTATGGACTACAAAGTACTGAATGTTTATTATAGTTACTTAGGGGGACCATATTTGGGTTTCTGAAAAGGAGCACACTTTTTTTTTTTTTTATGGTATGGGGACTGGACCGGACCGGACCGGGCATTCAAACTGAGCCATCTGCTCCTGGGCTGGTCCCATTCCGGAGCCAGCCGGGGACAGAGCGACTGAATGTGAGGTTATGCAAAAATATACAAAGGCTTGAAATGGAATAAAAATGAGTGTGCCCCATCAGCCTAAAGTAGTAGAACAATTTGACACAGATTTGGAGTCAGTGGGTCACATGACCTGGAAGCAATTGAAGAAATCTAAATTATTTTTGTGATAAGAAATGTTAAAAAACATACAAAGGCTTTAAATGGAATAAAAATGAGTGTGCCTCAACACGCTAATGCAGTAAAGCTATTTCACAAAGAATTTGAGTCCATAGGTCACATGATCTGGAAGCTATTGAAGAAAAGTCCCAACTTTTTTCTAAAAATTGAAAATAGCTTAAAATTGCATAAAGGCAAGTGTGCCTTACATATATTATTTATTGGCATGATTTTATAATAGTTTCATCTAAGCTGGTCATAAGATAAGGAATTTATTGATTTTTGTTTCTCAAGACTGCTTGGTTCAAAGATTTGTTGATGGTCCCTAACTGCACCACTGTTGTGGTTCCAGATTGTGTGGGTAGTTTTGTGTTCTTTTTCAGTTTCACCATTCATCCACCAGACGGTACCATTGGTTCACTTCTGACCTGGAGAGCTTCTTTCCTCGTCTCAATTACCCACACCTGCAGCAAATTGGTCATCGCCTCTGAGGAGTATTTGAGCAGCTGACTGTCACCACCTCGTCACCAGAGTGTTTGCCAGTTTTGGGTACTCTAGGCCCCCTGAGTTTATTCTGAGTGACTACATGCTCTTACATTGTTTTGTCGTGGATCTTTGCAGGAAATCAACTGATCCTCTGAGCTTAATCTGGTCCTCCAATCCCTGGAAGGATTCCTCTCTTGAGAGTCTCACTGCTCACCTTATCTGAACCCCTACCTCTTCCAGGAACCCAGTTGACAGTCTGCACTGTTTCCTCCATAAGTCTGCCTGTCCGCCCTCCAACGACACCTCCACTACCTACCAGCCAAGGCCTCCACAAACAGGAACCCCAGCCTGTCCTCCAACTCAAACTGTGAGTCCAAGCTACATCTGAGTTTCAGTCATCAGCCTTTTATCCCACCGACCTTGAACTCACCAAATCACTCTCTCCTCTGTGCAGTCGCTGCAGGTTTCCTGGTCGCTGGAACCCCCCAAGCTGAGATACCAGTTTTCTGTCACCGTGTTTTTCTATCTGAAAAAAAAACAGTTAAACTCTGATCCTCTCTCTGTGAGTGTGGGCAAAAAAAAAAAAATAAGACCCATCTTGTGTGGGAAGAGGGAGCAGCTGAGAGACGCTGGCTTACATCGGAGTGCCTCAGTCGGATCAACCATTTGCTAGATCCCGCTGACTCCGCGGAGCTTGAATATCCAATATCCAACTTCAAACCAACTTCACCACGGTGCTGACGGCTCTGTTCTGCTGCACTGTAGTCGACCAAAATCCCGAACAATTTAGAAATTGCTCCCGCACATTTTTTTTTTTAGGTATGAAAAGTAGGACATGTCCGGGAAAAAAAGGGGCTTCTGGTCATAGTTTGTAGTCTACTCATAAATTACTGTATTGTGAAATGTAGATGAAAGTAACTAAATCATCCTCTTACTTGCAAAACCAAACATTCTTAAAATACTGTTTTAATTACATTGAATTTTTCAAACATTATCAGAGCATTCATTTTTTTCAGAAATTTGATTCAATATGAATAATATACATTGCATAATATACATTGAATATTCAATTCAGCATACATCCATGGTGATGGATGTATGCTGATGATACATTATTACCGACATAGTAAGAAAACTCTAAACAACAAACTACTTTTAATGCACGTTTCAATCAACATTATCATTGTCATACTCTCTACTGCCAGACTTATTGTACTCTAAATTATGTGGACTTAGCTTTAATAAAGGAAGCGTGCTTACAGACTCTAAAAGCTTTTCACACGCTTCTTGAAACCACTTGTTTTTCCATTCTCTGTATGTGCGCTTCCTGCTAATGAGTTTCACCAGTTATTTTTAGGTGTTTTAAAGAGCAAAGGGTTTTATGTGCACCAAGGTTTGGTTTTGGTGTGAACAAGGAGAGTATTAAATATATGTAAAATTTGTGTTGTGTCTGCTGAACTTTTTATCACATTACAACCATAAATATGATCTGATATCACAACACAGAGTAATAAAAAAATGCTTTATTTGAATAAACAGTTTATTTATGCATGCATTTCCTTTTTTTAATTTATTAATTATTATTTTTTTTATTTTTTTTACATCAAGTACCCTCACGTATCTTTAGTTGTTGGCACATTTTATTATCTTGAATTTTGGGCACTTTCGTATTTCCATACCTGGTGGGATTAAAATTGTTCTTTTTTTACATTTCTCCTTAAGTGTCTTATATGATTTAAACTTAAAATGTCATGTGACAATGGTTATTTCTAGGTAACAAGCAGTGTTGTTTTCGTCACGATGAGGATGGTGAAATAATTTAATTGACACTCCTAGTTTTCATTACGATAACGAAAACTGACGAGCTAAACACGGATCTTTGAAGACTGAAACGTGATAAATCATAGGCTTGAGTTTTAGTCAACAAGACCAGACAAGACTGAATAAAAATTAGTGGGTCATCGGTAAGATGTTCAAAATGCATCATTTTGCTGTAATCAGCTAAGTAATATCAGCCGTGCTGCTGCGTCTTGTTTGATCCTGCCGTTCACCTGCCGCGCAGATCAGATGGATCATGGCAGCAGCTGTAGGGTCTGAGAAAATAACCCGGACTGGTCCGGTACTGCACGCTCAACTCTGACAAACTTTGCTTTGATCTTTCATCTTGTCCAGAAATTGGTCTTTGTGGGTGAAAAACTCAGAATTTGTGCTCTACTCTGATGGTTCACTCCCAGCAGTCTGACTCTTCCTGCTCTCGCTACTTGATAAACTATATGTGGCTAATCATCCTCTGCTAAGTGTAAGAAAAAAACTTTGCCTTAATATCAAGATTTTATTTCTTCCAGCTCACAAGAGGTGATGCTAAACATTCTTTAATTTCTACCAAAAGGAATCCCTAAGTTATATCGGAAGAAAAAATTACATTGCACTCTGTTTATTTTTATTATATTTATTTTTGGATAAAGAGCCAGGTGAAAAGGTACATAGATCTTTGAATAGTTCTCTCTCATTGTTCTCGTTTCTATCTTTGTATATCTAAATATAACGTAAATGTTTCCTTGTATTGATGTTAAAATTGATGTCTAAAAGTAGAAGTAAAATATTGTCTAAAAAATAATTACTCCAAAATGTATACTTAGTATTTTTACTTTGTCACTTGATACCTCTTAGTATGCACTTCATATTTTCAAATATACTCCAAACATAAAATAATGTGATACAATTTTTACTCGTTTCATGTCTTATATTAATATACATATAAACATTACATGAAGCTGCTGCATATAAACTACATTGTCTGTCTATTCATGATCAGAGCTAAATCTTAAAGGAAAAAAACCCAAGCGTTCTTTAAAAATAAATACGATTACAAACCATACTTTCATGTTGTTGATGAACAAATGAATAGGTTTAACAAAGGATCCACATCAAGCTATTTGTGAGGCTTTTTTCCCCCACCATGTGGTCACTACTAACCACAGCAACAGTGATAACTATGTTTTCCTAGCTGTGAGTCGATATGTTGTAAAAGAAATACTTTTTGAGTCAGGTGTATTAAGTTGTTATTTTTTAGTTTTATAGTCAAAATAAGAATGGTTATAACAACGGAAACCCTTTCTTAAGCAACTCCTACCCTTGTTTCTACCCGTCAGTCAAATCTAAACAGACATCTAATGGAAATCACATAAACATCTATGCTTAGGACAGCAAAAAAACATAGATAAATACATCTAAAAGCATTTTTAAATATCTAAAACATCCTCAGTACTATAAATGCGTCAGCATTGATGCTTAATTATTTAACTCACTTACACATATTGTCTTATTCTTCTCTTCGCTCGGCAGCATCCTAAGCAGCCAACTTTCTGGCGGCCCGAATCACTCTGATGTCAGAGTACACAATGTTATCATCAGTCTCATCTAAAAAAACAGAAATAGACACATAGAGACCAAATCTTGTTATTTAAAATTATATTGCCTTGGTTACAACACTTAACCTCATTAAAAGTACTGTTTAGTGTAAGAAAATATTTTTAGTGAAATTGTCTCACCTTCTTGAAAATCAGTGGGGCGCTTTATTTTACACAATTTAACTGTGAGAATCAAGACCAAAAGAAGAAGTGGGAAGTACAGGCTTGCAAGAACAGTAAGAGTTATTGAATGCAGCCCTAGAAAAAAATAGACATCAATTCAAATGACATTTATTTACTGCAAAGACTTTTATATGACTATGCAAATCACACATTTAACATTGCATTTCTTTTGCAACAATGCATAGCCTGTTAAAAAGAAAACAACAACAAAAATTATGAAGAAAACTAAAAGGGAAAAAATGAAAAGTAAGAATTGCTCATATTACCTTGGCAGCTTGTAAGGTATATAACGGTCTGTTTACTGCTGACTTTGTTTTCTACTTTACAGCATAGGTTTCCTGCCAGCTGACCATTCAAGCTGATGCTGGAACTTTCATTCTTTTCTCTGACAGCTTTAGTCTGTATTAATATATTGTCATCTAAAGAAAAAGAGAACTCTATGTCGTCTCCATCTGCTGAGCAGTTGATTGTCCTTAGTTCTGGTGACAAACATGTGGCTAATAAAGCAGGTTGTGATACTGAAGCTGAAAGACAAAAAAAACTCAGATTTACAAATATTACACAGTTCAAAATAGAACTATTAAACCTCTTGGTTTATAAGTTTATATGTTTTAAAAAATATTATTTTATGTTCGTACCTAAAATCTGCAGATTGATGATGAGTGTTTTGGTATTTTTACCATCTTTGTCATATAGTTCAAGATGATAATCTCCAGAGTTATTCTTTGTTGTGGAGTTAAACTCAAATGTTGCATTGAAAGTTGCATTGTTGTTTACAATCTTTTTAATCACATAATTAGCTTTTTTCAGTTCAATCCTTGAAACAATTGGAAAGTAAAAAAACAGGGGTTCTCCAAGGGCTCCATAACATTGAGGGTTTTTATCATTTTGAGATAAATTGCATCTCATAAGTCCTAAAACAGAAACGTAAAAAACAAGCAAATTACATAGAGTAACGGCAAAAAAAATATTATGTTTGTTGTTAGTGTAACACAATAACAGTAAAAAATACCATTACAATAACAGATGGTTTTCAACATATTTTCAAAAAATGACTTTTGTTATCGTTTTATTCCAAAATGACAATAAATATCGGTAAGAAAAACATTGTTCCAAGATGTATTAATATTTTATGCATTTGCATTAAATATACCTGTTGTCAATGTTGCTATAACCAGGACAGGCATTGTCATGTAGATTGAAATCATTGTCTGTGAGGACAAAACAAAAGAAAAAATAAATAAATAAATTATGATAAAAATAATATGGAGCAGATTGTTTTTGTTAATATATATTTTAAACAAAATTACCAATTACCTCCTAGTTTAACAGATTAATTTATTTCTATATTAAATGCTTCTAATAGGTCCAGTGACAATGTAAAATAGATACACTTGTAGCTTTGAGATCCTTTTAGATCCATACTAATTTTTTAAACAACTCTATTCTCTTTATAAATTCAAATGTGTCCTGTCTTTATAGATTAAGCAAGGATATAATAAGAAGGGTATAATAATACAGAAACATCAGCCTATAGTGATTTTTTTGCCCTAACAGTGTGAGCACTTGTCCATTTTTTTCATGTTGTTCTACCCCAAGGAGTTGGGGGAAAAAGGCTAAATTTCCAACTCTGCCTGTTATTCTGATTCGCACCTTATGTTGCCTGTTTAATGGCAATGATTAGTTTTTAAATGATGCTATTGCCACAATGGCATGTCTTCTTTCCTTTTTTTAAATACCACAGCTAGCATCTACAGAAAGCCCGAAGTGAATCCGGCCATGGGTCATTCGAGGCCCCAGGAGCACCACACCCCCTGGCAGGAGCCCCAGCCGGGCCCCGGCTGGCCAGGCCCCACGGAAAGCCACCAGGAATAAGCTAGTAGCCACCCGGGCATGTGTTTCACTTACCAAGCAAGGTTTCTTGCTTGGTGAGTGAGATTATTTTAGAAAAAATTAAAGAAAATTAAATATATATGTTCTAGAAGTATGGTGTCTTACTGCACCATACTTTTTACTTCTAATACTGCTGGGAAATGACTGGGCTGTGAGGATCTGCCCTGATAGCTGATCAAGTTATTCACTTCACTTACCTGCTGTACCCTCCCAGTATGGAAGTAAATATGTGCCATCAGAATTTGAATAAAAAATACCTCTGAAATTTGAATGTTGTATATTAGTGCTTACTTTTTCAGTATTAAAAAAAATTCAGAATATATTTTTAACCTAAAAAAAATTCAATGTCAATATTTGTACATTAAAAAAAAAATTCAGTGTAATTTTTTTTACATGGTTGCAATTTTCAGTTATTAAAAAAATTCACATTCCTATTTCAAACTGATAAAATTTTCAATATACATATTTTCACAGTTTAAATTTTCAGTGTTAAAAAATTCAGCATATAAAAAATTCAACTTTTCAAAATTCAAATGCAATATTTTCGTTGTCCTCCAATTCAACTTGCTCAAATTCACTGTCTCAAATTCAGCGTCTAAAAATTCGCTGTAAAAATGGCCACGGTTACTTCAGGTCACAGACATTAGCAATGGATGTCCAATTCCAACATCCACCTAATCACGTGACACAACCGTCATATTGAAGAAGTTCCAGTATCACCCAGGCTGGCGACCATGGAGGCGAACTCAAACCCAGCGGTGAGTTTAATGCTTTCATATTTCTGTAGTATATTTTATTTTGCGCATGAAGTTTGATACATTATCTTAAAGCCTGATTTAAAACACTGGTTTGGGCCGTTGTTAATCTTACACCGTGTAGTGCCGGCATATTACTTCTCGTGCTACCTCCGAGCACCCCCCCCCCCCCCCCTCCCAATTTCCCCCGTTTTATTTCAAAAAGAAATACTACTTTTCCAGGCAGTCTTAGTAAAGTCGTAGTAAGCTAATATGGCTGCCTTGTGTGCTTCAAAGAGGGGCTGTGAACAGTTCCGACCCCACTCTGATCAGCTACTGTATTGTTAGGTGACTTCATTTATGAATTAATTAAGAAATTTATTGTCATTACAACATCATTCAAAATACCAGTTACCTACCAAATTGTAGATTTATTTGTGCTTGATATAGTTTCTACAATTTTAATGGGAGAAGAGCACAGTAGGCATCGACTGCTTGTCTCAGTCTCACCTAAGACAACATACAAACAACCCAGAAAGTCACCACCCATCAGTTCTTTTTCAAGATTCTAGACTTGGCGCAAGGGGTATTTCTTTTTGAAATAAAACGGGGGAAATTTGGGGGGGGCGAGAATTAATATGCCGGCACTACACGGTGTAAGATTAACAATGGCCCAAACCAGTGTTTTAAATCAGGCTTTAAGATAATGTATCAAACTTCATGCGCAAAATACAATATACTACAGAGATATGAAAGCATTAAACTCACCGTTGGGTTTGAGTTCGCCTCCATGGTCGCCAGCCTGGGTGATACTGGTACATCTTCAATATGACGGTTGTGTCACGTGATTAGGTGGATGTTGGAATCGGACATCCATTGCTAATGTCTGTGACCTGAAGTAGCCTTGGCCATTTTTACAGCGAATTTTTAGACGCTGAATTTGAGACAGTGAATTTGAGCAAGTTGAATTGGAGGACAACGAAAATATTGCATTTGAATTTTGAAAAGTTGAATTTTTTATATGCTGAATTTTTTAACACTGAAAATTTAAACTGTGAAAAATATGTATATTGAAAATTTTATCACTTTGAAATAGGAATGTGAATTTTTTTAATAACTGAAAATTGCAACCATGTAAAAAAAATTACACTGATTTTTTTTTTTTTATGTACAAATAATGACATTGAATTTTTTTTAGGTTAAAAATATATTCTGAATTTTTTTTAATACTGAAAAAGTAAGTACTAATATACAACATTCAAATTTCAGAGGTATTTTTTATTCAAATTCTGATGGCACATATTTACTTCCATATCCCAGCCTACTAATTATCATTCATCTTATCCACCTGCTCCTTCTGCTTTATATATGGTTCAGCAAAGCTATCGGGGCCAGATCACTATGTATGTTTGTATGTTAGTTCTTTTGTTTGAGTTTGGTTATTCCAGAATTCTTGTTCCCATTCATATAGGCCAGTGTTAGAGAGGTTTTTTGTTGTCTTTTGTTTGCTGATCGTGTCCTGGCTCTTCTCCACTGATTGTGCCGTTTCCTGTTTTGGCTCGCCAGGGGGGAGCTATTTTAAAGTCCAGTAGGCCTGGCTCTTATCCACTGAAGCATGCCCTATTTCCAATTTCGGCTTAGTGGAGGAGTCCAGTTTAAAGTTCTGCAGTTCTCCTGGAACCTTGTCTTATCTTTTTCTCTCAACCACTGAGCCTGCCTGTCTCCATCTTAGCATGTCTGCCTGAGCTCGTTGCTGGTCTCATGGAGCTCTGAACTTGCCTGAGCACTCTGTGGATTCCTGGAACCCTGTCAGTTCCTATTTGGATTGGAACCCCCGGTCGGGCTACGAACTCCTGCATCTCAGAACCGTACTTGTTCTGAACTGTTTTCCTGACTGCTCCCTGGGGTTACTGCATGGGGGTCACTCTGGGGCGGCTCTGCGCTGCATCTCATTTGGTAGTCCACCAGCTGGATCCCGCCTTCCTCGGAGAATATGGACTGAACTGTTAAGCCAGGTAAGTGACTCGCATGGCTAATTATCTTCCGTCAGATTATCGTGGTCACTTAACTGTGTTTCTCCCTGAACCAGAGTGCCAGTGATAGGTTGTGCCCCTCCTTCCCCCACAGCCACTGCGTATCTGTATATCCATTAGCAGCCCCCTTCTGTTCCGTTATGTGTTTTGATAATAAACATTTTGAAACATCCCACTGTCTGTGTCGCCTGAATACTGGGTCCTACATTTTGGGTTACATGACGTGCGCCTAGAAATTAGTAATAGTACTGCTACTTTGAGGTAATGTTACATTAAGGGTACTGGTTTTAGTTAACTGTTTTTCATAAATTATATCTAGAGGATACAATTGTACATGTCATCACTTAAGATAGAAAAGATCTGGATAACAGTAAAATTTTACTTTCTCTTAAATACAATACCTTTTATTAATAAACAGAAAAACAAAAAGTAGTACTGGGGAGGATGTAGCAAAATGAGAGAGAAAGGAGAAAATCATGACAGGATTATTGGAAGTAAAAAAAAAAGCCTGCACTGCACACTGTGTCAACAAGCGTGGATGCACAGAAATACACTACTCAAAAAAATTAAGGGGAGCACTTTATAATCAGAGTATAGCATCAAGTTAATTAAACTTCTGGGATATTGATTTGGTCAGGTAAATAGCAGAGGGGGTTGTTAATCAGTTTTAGCTGCTTTTGTGTTAATGAAATTAACAACAGGTGCACTAAAGGGGCAACAAAGAGATGACCATCAAAACGAATGGTTTTACAGGTGGAGGCCACTGACACTTTTTCACCTCCTCATCTTTTCTGACTATTTTTCACCAGTTTTGCATTTGGCTTGGGTCACTGTCACTACTGTTAGCATGTGGCGCTACCTGGACCCTACAGAGGTTGCACAGGCAGTCCACCTAATCCAGGATGGCACATCAATACGTGCCATTGCCAGAAGGTTTGCTGTGTCTCCCAGCACAATCTCGAGAGCATGAAGGAGATTCCAGCAGACAGGCAGTTACTCCAGGAGAGCTGGACAGGGCTGTAGAAGGTCTACAACCCATCAGCAGGACCGGTATCTGCTCCTTTGTGCAAGGAGAAGCAGGAGAAGCACTGCCAGAGCCCTACAAAATGACCTCCAGCAGGCCACTGGTGCGAATGTCTCTGACCAAACAATCAGAAACAGACTTCACGAGGGTGGCCTGACATCCTGTGCTCACTGCCCAGCTCCGTAGAGCTCAATTGGCATTTGCCACAGAACACCGGAATTGGCAAGTCCACCACTGGCGACCTGTGCTTTTCACAGATGAGAGCAGGTTCACCCTGAGCACATGTGACAGACGTGAAAGGGTCTGGAGAAGCCGTGGAGAACATTATGCTGCCTGTGACATTGTTCAGCATGACCGGTTTAGTGGTGGGTCAGTGATGGTCGGGGGAAGGCATATCCATGGAGGGACACACAGACCTATAGAGGCTAGACAACGGCACTGACTGCCATTAGGTGTCAGGGTGAAATCCTTGCACCCATTGTCAGACCCTATGCTGGTGTAGTGGGTTCTGGGTTCCTCCTGGTGCACGACAATGTTTGGCCTCATGTGGTGAGAGTACTCAGGCAGTTCCTGGAGGATGAAGGAATTGATACCATTGATTGTCCCCCACGCTCGCCTGACCTAAAACCAAAACACCTCTTGGACATTATGTTTCGATCCATCTGACGCCGCCAGGTTGCACCTCAGACTGTCCATCCTTTTGTTCCTAACACATCACCCAGCCCATATCAGTATAAATAAACAGCATGATTTTTCCCCCCAATGAGATCTAATGTGTTTTCAAACTGTTCCTTTAATTTTTTTGAGCAGTGTATGTTTTAGAGCAGTGGTTCTAAATCCTGGTCCTCATTTACAACTAAACTGCATATTTTTGATTTTTCCTAGCTGCCATATGCCTGAATTATACAAATGAATAATTGACAGGCTTCTGCAACACATGAAGTCTGTTAAGGAGGTCATGCATCTAAAAGATGCAGGCTAGTATGGCTTGATGACCAGGTTTGAGAATGACTTATGCAAAGAGAAAGGCTGCATGTGGCTGGTAAACCACACCTAAGTCTCCCACCCACGTTCCAAATGCTTCTAATGCCACTGGTGTGTGTGGGTGTGTGTCTGTGTGTGTGTGTGTGTGGGTATATATATCACCTTTTATACTAGGCATGCATTTGTTTGTTTGATGCATGCCTGTTTTACATTTATAACTTTCCATGCCTACATAATGTATGGCAACATTTCTACACCAGTGTGTCAAATGCACCCAAGTCTCATGATATTTCTGCTCCCCTGACAAATAATGGAGAATATATATCAATTGCATAATTATCCGTAAAACACTGCCTCAGAAACAAAACTTAGGAACTTTTATTTAACTGAGTTTCACTGCCATTTTTCAAAATTTTTTCAAAAAGCATTTTTTTGTGAGTACTTTCATAGAATTGTGATTAAAAAGAATAAATGATCAAATTTAAAATAAAATTTCTGGCACTTACTCAAAATAGAAGATTGTTGTCTCTACAGAGGCTGGTTCCTTTTTGCACTGGTGGCAGGAAGGTGTGGCAGAAACTCTTATCGGAACTATAAAACAATTTAATGAATGACGACTAGGAGGCTTTCTTTTTAACATTTTATCCATATGCAAGAACATGATTGGTAGCTAAAATAAAATTTTTATGTTAGAATATTGTGCATCCGTGTAACTTTTGTGTTTCAGAACTACTTAGGCAAGGTACATTCTTTGTATAGCACATTTTAGTACCAATAAAATTCAAAGTGCTTTTCTAAAATAAAACATGAAAAAATAGATTGAAAAGGTATTGTAGTGCCATTATACTGGCAGGTAAAGGAAAGTTGAACCACAGATTAAAATCAATATTGTTTTGGTAAATAGTTTTAACCGAACCTGAAAGGCAGTTCTAAATAAAAGGGGTTTTAACCTTGATTAGAAAGGACTTTGGATGGTTTCAGATTAGACAGTTCTGGTCATGGCAGAGTAAATGCAATGGTTTGAAATGGTCTATTATGGAATACAAAGTACTAAATGTTTGTTATAGCTTGGAGCCTATAAATAGATGACTGTATTGCAGAAATGCAGATGAAACTAAGTCATCCTTTTATTGACAACAACCAAATGTTGTTAAAAGCTGAAACATGTAGTTGAAACATATTCAGATAATTATATCTTGTAGACTTTTTATAGACACATAGAAATTTTAGAAACTTGATTATGAATAATGTACATTCAAAGTAACTAAACACATTAATTAAATTCAATATGCATTTATGCAATTATACATACACACTCTGGGTGACAGTGGTGTCGGAAGTCAGAGTTTGCCCTGTAAACGGAGGGTTGTCAAGCCCCGGATCCGGCATTCAGTGTCGTTGTCCTTGGACATGACACTTCACCTGCATTGCTTACTGATGGTGGTCGGACGGACTGGTGGCACCAGTGTACGGCAGTGGCTTCTGTCGGTGAGCACCGGGGCAGATGTGGCTACAATGTATTTTGGGTGAATGACTAAATATAGTAAAGTCCTTTGGTCGAGTCTTCTCACTTGAAAAAGCGCTATATAAATACAGGACATTTACGATTTATTATAAGAAAACAAAAAGATAAGAAAAAAAACCTGAACAACAAACTACTTATGAAGTGTGTTTCCTTCAACATTACCAGCGTCATACGCTCTGCTGCCAGACTTATTGTAAATTATGGAAACCTATCTTTGATAAAGGAAGTCTGACTACTGACAGGAAAAGCTATTCTCAGACCTGTTAAAACTACTAGTTTTTCCATTCTGTCTATGTGTGTTTCCTGTTTTATTTGTGCACTAATGTTTAGTTTTGGTGCGCATTAGAAGGGTTTTAAATGTTATCATATGTAAAAACTGATCAAGTACCCCCAACTGTCTTCATTTGTTGCCACATTTTAATGTAATGACTTTTTGGGTCCCTTTGGCTTCTCATACCCGCTGGGATTTAAATTGTTCCTACTTTAATTTCTGCTTATGTGACATGTTTAGATTTGAGCTCAAACTGTCATGTGTTCTATGGAATTCGGTAGGTGGCTGGCCTAAGCAGGCTCCTCTAAGCTAATGTTAGTTAGCTTCTTTTCTGCATGTTTTGTAGAATGTTCCATTTGGTGTGTTAGTCAGTCATTTAATTTGTAACGCACTACACAACTGATATTCATATTTATACAGCCATAAAGATGGCTGTATTTTATAAAGAACCTCTCTTACCCAAGGATTATTAGAAGGAATGTGACATGCTTGGGTCATAAGAGATGCCATATACGGCTTATAGTGAATTGGGGAGAATTGTTTGAGCATATGCTTGACTGAGTTTTGTGACCATGTCACTACCAGACCCACTCAATTTAGGGGAAGCCCAAAGCATGTGGGTACCGTATGTTTGGCTGAAGAGTGTCCACACCCATTACAAGTTTTTGGCTTGTTTGCATTTGTAAAATGTACTTTATAAGATATTTTACACATGGTCAGGACATGTCAGGCATAAATTAAAGATCTGTGCATTCATTTTAAGGCCGCTTCCCAATGTTCCTCTTTCACCAAGCTCCCCCTCGCATGCAGTTTTTACTAAGGCCTTGAAATTGTAGACCTTAATACTTAAGGAGTTATAAAAAAAAAAAAAAAAAAAAAAGAATTCTAACATGGATCTGTGTCTAGGCAAGGCAAGTTTATTTGTATAGCACAATTCAGTACAAAGACAAAGTGCTGTACACAAATTAAAAAATAAAATACAAAGTCAAAAATAGACGCAGAATAAAAGCAGAAGATGTAAAAGCATGATAGAAACAGGTAGAAACGGATAGTAAAACAAAACAGTTTGACCACAACCTTAGGATAACAATACCTCAGTTAACAGTTAAACTTCAACAGTCAAAAGAAGTTCTAAACAAAAGGGTTTTTAACTTTGACATAAAAGAACTCAGGCTTTTAGTACTTTTGGATAAATGGAGTATAGGAACTAAATGCTGCTTCTTAATGTTTGGTCCTAGTTCTGGTTGTAGAGAGAAGGCTTGATCTAGAAGACCTGAGTGGTTTGGGAGGTTTTTACACTGATGACAAATCTGTTATGTATTTTGGTACTGATCCATTCAGTGATTTATAGACTAAAGCACAGTCTCTGTAAGCTGGCTGGCGGAGGGAGGGCGGCGACGAAGATGCAGCCAGACCCTTAGTGACAGAAACAGGACCCAAAGAGTCCGCCAGGCCCTTGACGTTCCTGCTAGTACCCCCCTTCCATAATACAGTATGCCTCAAGCCAATTGTAGCAGCGAATCGTCTGAAGGTTCTTGTTTGTTTTTTTTAGTTTTTCTTTTTACAAGAAATCGTGTTGGAAGAAAAGTACAGACATCTTTCCCATCTACAAATGCAAAAGTGCTTATCTTTGCTCCTATTTAAACAAGAAATTGTGGCTATCCTCACTGTGGCTGTTAGTGAGGATGGATACCAAAAAGAGGTACTTAAGCGGATTCCAGAAAAAAAAAAGGAAAGTAGAGCTGCTGGAAGAACGGAAAAAAACTTCCCAAAATAAACACGTTCTTTCAAAGAATTGGAGAGGGAGAGGTGGACGTTGGTGCTACAGTGAGTAAAGGTTGCAACCAGGAGATGAATGGAGAGAGCGTAGGGTTCGATAAGCACTTGGGATGTCTGTAACATGTGGTGCGTTGTCACCAATGGTTCTATTCAAGGTGTGCAGTCACTATTTTTCCATGTGTGATCATATACTACTAAGAATTGCGTATCTTCTTGGCCGATTTATGGAACTGTCACCGTATCCTGAATGGTGTTCACGTGTTGTACTTCATATGGGGCCAACCCAGATGCTTACGGGCCTATTGTTTTGTCGTTACGCCATAGACCAAGTCCAACCACAAAGAAATGAATGGTCTGGGTGAAACAAATTATTTTCATGGTTTTTGTTTTTTTAATACCAACAGGCCATAAAGAAAATTACACTAAATAAAACAAAACAAAACAAACGGTCTATTTTTAAAATGTAAGAAGAAAGTACAGATAATTGCAAGTAAACGTAAGGAGTAGAAGTAAAAAGTTGTCTAAAAAATAATTACTCCGGTGAAGTATAGATAGCCAAAATTTATAATTAAGTAAGGTAAAGACTTATTTCTACTTTGTTACTTCACAAATGGATTTACAAATCATACTTTCCTGTTTTTTAACAAATAGTTGGTTTAACAAAGGATCCATGTATAGCTATTTGAGAAGGCTTTTGTCTCCACCATGTGGTCACTAATAACCACAGCAACAGTGACAACTATGTATTGCTAGTGGTTTAATTTAATACATTGGGGGGGAAAAAATACTACTGTCAGTTGGTGGGAGAAAAAAGCAGTTGTATTAAGGTGTTATTTTCTTGAAGTTTTATAGTCAAAATAAGAAGTTATAACAAGCGGAAAACGTTGCAATTTTTTCCCCCCAGACATGTTTGATATGTGTCTCGAATGGTAAAGGCAAGGCAAATTTATTTGTATAGCACAGTTCATACAAAGACAATGCAAAGTGCTTTACATGATTGAAATATAGGGAAATAAAACAGAATCAAAACAAGTAGGAAAAAAAAACTAATTACCAAGAGAAAAGTAGTTCATCTGTTTAGATTCAATGCTTTCATTGTTCTTGTTTTATGAAGCTGATCATTCTTAAAACTCCTAACCTGCTTTCCACCTCCCAGTTAAATCTAAACAGACATCTATTGGAAATCAAATAAACATAAGTAATCTATGCTTAGGACAGCAGAGAACAGGTAAATACATAAAAAAGCATGCTTAAATATCTAAAAAGCAGCAGATGCAAAAGCACTTTTCATTACATTTACAGTATACATGCATATTTAGATGCAGCTTTGATGCCTAATAATTCCTCTCAACACAGACATTTATGTTTAACTCTTTTTTGTAGCCCTTTTAACATCTTAAATTCCACCATCCAATATGGGTAAAGTTTTTTCTGCATAAAATATCATGCTAATATCAAGGTGAAACCCAGCATATTACACCTGTTTAGAATCACACAATCCTGAGAAAAATGACCATCAACTGAACTGTAAGCCAACCGTGCACTACAAAAACAATTAACTTATCATTTGTCATCAACTTAAAATTCATAATTATCATTTCCTGCACTGTCAAACCGAAACAGAATCAATGATAGCAAAAACAGGCTAATTTTGTCTATAACATTCCACAGAAAAGTAATATCCAATTGTATTTCCCAAAAAATCAACTTAAGCCTCTTCATAAACCACCTAAGGTTTTATTTTTTTGGTTTTTCTTGCCATTGAAGAGTTAAAGCAAGGATGAAAATATACAATCATCTCTGTAATGAAACTTTTCTGCCATTTTAGATCATCTACCTTGCATATTCACCTAGCCACTTACTCCAGACATCGAGTGTAACTTCCATTTTGACTATCCACAAAAGTATAGAAGATTCCTATCGATCTGGAAAGATCTTGTTTACTAATGGCTGGCTTAATTGCTCATTTCAT